TATATATATATGAAGCAACACACTATAGTTGTCATAAAAGCTATCTTTATTCTCTAAAGTGTTGTTGTAAATTCATTTGACCTTTACTGGAGGAATAAAAATTATATAAGGTATAGAGACAGGGCTCAGTTTGTAACAAATAGTGGACCGTTGCAAAGAGGAGAGGAAAAGGCCAGGACTGAGCAGCCAGAAGCTGCAGTTCAATTTCACCTCATATCTTTCTAATAACTTACTTGTCACTTTATTACCTTCCAGTAATGTGAACGCTGCTGACAAGACTGTCACACTAACAGCAGACAACACCCTCTGTGCGTCAACCCCAGCTCTCTTCCCTACTTATTGCCCTGGCCCTGAAGGGACACAAACTAATAGTGAGCTTTCCAGTTCAACACTTGGCCATCAAATATAAAAGGATGCGTAATTGCCTGTTTATCCCTTGTGAAGGGGAAATGGAGCACAGGGCCAGGCTTTCCCACCAGTTCCTATACGTGCTCATTCACAGTCGGCGGCCTGTCCCTCCCCCATCTCTCTCTCTTCCTCTTGTCATTCCTTCCCTACCCGTTCTTCTTTTTGCTCCCAACATGGAGGCGTATATGCAGGCCTGCTGTGTCTTTGGGAAGCTGGAAGCTGCTTCTACATAGCATCTCCAGCTATTAAGTAGACAGTAAAAAATGGCTTTTTGCATAAAGTGTCAGTAGAGGTGCCGTCTGTGAATGTTCTCTACTTTGAAACAATTCAATTCCATGCCCATCCCTTTGGAAAGTATTGGGTATGGCCCTGCAATTAGAGCAAAATTTCCCTGCAAGTCACTGGCATAAGTAGAATTAGATTGTCCAATATTCTGTAAAGAAAAGGTTAAAATACTTTTCTTCCCCTTCAAAGAGTGTGTATGTTATAAACAACCTGCTTGTGAATGGTGGTTAAAGAAATACTGTTTGTGGAGTTTGAAGTCTTTGGCATGAGACTGTTGTGCTATGTGTGCACGTGTCATTCGATAACAGACTTCAAATCCATATTTAACATGACAGATTAACTTTCACTTTACCAAACAGAATTGACAATCTAAATAAAAATAAGGTACCAGACTTTTTAAACTTGTTCATTAAGACAATGGAGACCCTACACATGAACGATAATTTCTCTGCTTAGGAAAATTTGGAGGGATCCAAGTAGAGTGAGCTTTACAAAACTGAGTGGCAGGCGGACTAAAGGCAGGAAAGAAGTGTGTTAAAAAATGGTACATTCCAGAATACCTTGAACCCAAACCATGTTTTGATATTCGTTGCTATTTTGGTATATTGATGGTTTTTAAAGTGGCTAGTTCTTGATTAAATGAGGAGATACTGTGCTGCTTCTTCCCGCCCTCCCATGGCAGGTCCTACAACAGGCAGTTAACCTCTGCTGTAAACAGTACATTTCAAGTAAGGTATTAATCAACTCAGAAACAGAGATGCCTTCTTTGATGCAAACTTTCGCAAGGACAGGGAAGCAGCAGATTTAGGGGCAGGCAGCTTATTAGGTCTGTGTTGGCAAACCTGTGCTAAATCATTTCATGAATCAGTCTGAAGACTGAAAAGAAAAGCACTTTGAACAAGGACTTTGGGTCAGAGAAAAGGTAGTTTGTTGACTTGATCTTTTTAAAGTTCCCTGGTATGAATATATTATAATCAGTTATCAAACTTCGTATAAGAATCTTAATTAAAAACTCAGTTGCCAAAATTGCACAAATTCTGTTAGCTGATAGAAGCTTTGTCTTCTTAACTCTAAGTTTAAACAAGGATGCTTAAGGATATTTCTGTAGTCTTAAAGCTTTATTTAGCTTTCTTTAAAGAATCTTTGAAGGGCTGGAAGAGCAGAAAAGGGTATTTTAACAAAAGCAGAGAGAAGTAGATAGTATAAAAGTTTATTTCTTGAAGAAAGAGAATCTAAGTGCTATACCAAGATTTTATAAAGCTTCCTGTTGCCAAATGTGCTGCTGAGCAACTGTGCGGCTAAGATGGCAAAGGCATC